TCAGAATGCGCATTGTCAGCATCATCATCAGCAGCATCATCATTCCCTCCAGCGTCATCAGCATCATCATGCTCATCACCATCCTCATCATCCTCGTCCTCATCCTCTGAATCACCATCATCAGCATCATCATGACCAGCATCATCCCCAGCAGCATCAGCATCATCATCATCAGCAAAATCAGCATCGGCATCATCATCAGCATCATTACCATCATCCTCATAACCATCATCACAATCATCACCACTGAATCATCCTCGTCCTCATCCTGATCTTCATCATCATCTGCATCCTCAGTATCAGCATCATCATCAGCATCATAATCAGCATCAGCATTATCATCAGCAGCATCAGCATCATCAGCATCAGCATCACCATTAGCAGCAGCGGCATCAGTATTAGCATCAGCATCAACATCATCAGCCTCATCACCATCACCATCACCATCACCATCAGCAGCAGCATCAGCATCAGCATCAGCATCAGCATCAGCATCAGCATCAGCATCAACATCATCATCTTCAATATCACCAGTGTCGCTCTCAGCCTCATCATCATCATCATCACCATCACCATCATCGGCATCATCATCATCATCACCATCATCATCATCACAATCATCAACATCAACATCATCACCGTGATCATCCTGATGCTCATCCTCATGATCATCATCATCATCATCATCATCATCATCATCATCATCCTCATCATCATCATCATCATCATCCTGCTCCGAAGCATCATCCTCACGTTCTTCCTAATCATCCTCCTCACCCTCATCCTCATCCTCATCATCATCATCGTGCTCACCATCATCATCCTCATCATCACCCTCATCAGCATCCTCATCATCCTCATCACCACCGACGTTACCAGCATCGGCATCAGCAGCATCGTTATCATCAGCAGCATCATCATCATCATCATGATCATCCTCGTTACCATCACCACAACAGCATCACCATCACCATCCGCAGCTTTAGCCTGATCTTCATCCTCATAAGCATCACCAGCATCGGCATCAGCGTCAGCATCAGCACCATCATCAGCAGCATCAGCATCAGCAACAACGCTCCAATCAGTATCAGCATCGTCCGAATCAGCATCACCACAGCATGAACATCATCATCCTCATCTTCGTCCTCATGATCCTCACCGTCCTGATCAGCCTCATCACCATCATCACCATCACCATCACCGGCATCATACGCATCAGCATCAGCATTAACATCAGCATCATCAGCAGAACCAACACCACTACCACCACCACCGCCACCACCACCACCACCATCATCATCATCATCATCATCATCAACATCATCATCATCAGCATCATCATCATCATCATCATCATAATTATCAGCATCATCATCATCATCATCAACATCACCAGCATCATCATCATCAGCATCAACATCAGCAGCATACCCAGCATTAACATCTCCATCAGCATGATAATCACCAGCGTCACCCTCATAGCAATCATCACCACCATCCCCATCATCAACAACAACAGCATCAGCATCATCATCACCATCATCACCATGATCGTCATCAGCATCATAATCAGCATCAGCATCACCCACATCCTCATGATCATCATCATCATCATCATCATCATCATCACCATCCTCATCATCCTCATCCTCATCCTCATCATCGGTATCGTCATCATCACCACGTCGTCAGCATCAGCATGATTTTCATCACGATCATCATCACCATAAGCATGCTCATCAGGATAATCATCCTCATCATTCTCAGCATCACAACCATCAGCCTCATAATGATCATCCTCGATATCATCATCATCATCATCATCCTCATTATCATTATAATCCTCATCTTCATTCTCGTCATCATCCTTAGCATCATTATCCTCATCTGCATCCTCATCCTCATCCTCCTGATCATCATCCTTATCCTCATCCTCATCCTCATCGTCATCGCCTTTATCATCATCAGCATCATCATTATCGTCATCAGCATTTTCATAAACGTCATCAACATCATTATCAACATCATCGGCATCATCATTACCATCATCACCAACAACCCGGTCAGCACCACAGAATTAGCATGATGTTCATCATCATCCTCATCCTCATCATCAGCATCACCAGCATGGGCATCAGCATCAGCATCATCATCAGCAGCATCAGCATCATCATCAGCATAATCAGCATCTGCATTAGCGTCAGAATCATCCTCATCCTCGTCATCATCAGCAGCATAATCATCATCGTCACCATGACCATCAACATCACCATAATCAGCATCATCATAATCATCAGCATAGCCCTCAGCCACATCCTCGCCTCATCATCAGCATCCTCAACATCGTCATTATCATCATAATTATCCTCATCAGCATTCTCATCTTCATCCTCATTCTCATCATCAGGAGCATCAGCATTCTCACCCTCGTCCTCATCATCACCCTCATCCCCGCATCATTATCCTCATCCTCATCCTCATGCTCCTCATCCCCAGCCGCATCCTCTTCCCCATTATCACCAGAATCGTAATCGCCCTCATCATCATCAGCAGCATCAGCATCAGCATCATCATCATCAGCATCAGCATCAGCATCGTCATCCACATCATACTCATCGTTATCCCAATCAACATCACCACCACAGCTTCATCGTCAGCCTCATCCTCATCATCAGCATCAGCGTCATCAGCATCAGCGTCATGAGCAGCATCATCATCATCAGCATTAGCATCCGCATCAGCATCATCATCTGCATTGTCAGCATGCGCGTCAGCATCAGCATCATCATCAACATCATCACCACCATCATCATCACATCATCATCAGCATCAGCATCGTACTCAGCATCACTACCAGCATCGTCATCATCATGTTCATCATCCTCAGCATCAGCATCATCACAATCATCACCAACACCACAGCATCATCATCAGCTTCATCCTCGTCCTCATCCTCATCATCGTCAGCGTCATCAGCATCAGCATCAGCTTCACCATAAGCCTCATCATCATCAGCAGCATCGTCATCAGCAGCATCTTCAACATCGGCATCAGCATCCGCATTATCATCATCAATTGCATAGGTAGCATGCGCATCATCATCAACATCATCATCATCATCATCGTCATCGTCATCGTCATCGTCATCATCATCAACATCACCATCATCAGCAGCATCATGACCATCAGCATCGGCATCAGCATCAGCATCAAGCATCGGCATCGGCATCAGCATCAGCATCACCGTTATCATTATTGTTAGCATAAAGGAGGGCGCGCCGCTGGATAGCCACCCCAGGGGGGGGGACCCCCCTCCCCCCCCTTTCCCCAGTCCGTCGTCCGGGAGAACCCGCCCCCCCCGCCCCCCTTTTCCCGATCCGTCGTCGGGGAACCCTCCCCCCCCGCCTTTCAAAAGGGGGTGGGGGTCCGAACCCCCCCCCCCTTGGGCTCGAAATTCAAAACCCTCCCCCCTCCCCCCCTTTCGCCACGCCGCCCCCTGACACCGGACCCCGACCCCCCCTACCACACTCACTACTCTATACTCACTGTCCACTACTCACTACGCACTACTCGCTGCTCACAACTCACTACTCACTACTCACTACCCACTAGACACTATCCACCATTCACTACTCACTTCTCCCTACTCACTTCTCACTACTCACTACTCAGTACTCACTACTCACTACTCTCTACTCGCATCTCCCTACACAGTACAATTCACTACTCACTACTTACTACTCGCTACTCCCTACTCGGCACTCGCTCCTCACTACTCACTACACACGACCCACTACTCACTACTCACTCCGCACCATTCACTACTCACTGCTCCCTCCTCCCTACTCACTACACACTACTCACTACGCACTACTCACTACTCACTACTCATTACTGACTACTCAATACTCACTACTCACTACTCACTACTCCCTACTCGCTACTCGCTACCCAATCCTCCCTACTCACCACCTTCTACTCACGACTCACTATTTACTACTCACTAATCACAAAGAACAACTCACTATTCACTACTGCCCACTCACTAGTAACTAGTCACTACTCACTACTCACTACTCACTACTCACCACTCACTACTCACTCCTCCCTACACACGACCCACAACCAACCTTTCACGACTCACTACCCACTACTCGCTACCCATTTCCCACATCTCACTACACACTACTCACTATTCCCTATTCACTACTCACTTTGAACTATTCACTACCCACTACTCGCTGCTCCCTGCTCGCTACTCACTTCTCACTACTCACTAAGTCCCTACACGCCACTCGCTATTCACTCCCCACTACTCGCTTCTCACTACTCTCTACTCGCTACTCCCTACTCGCTACTCACATTTTACTACTCACTGCTCACTACTCATTACTCATTACTCACTGTTCTCTACTTACGACCCACTACTCACTACTCGCTACTCTCTACTCACTACTCACTACTCACTATTCACTACTCACCACTCACTACTCACTATTCTCTACTCACTACTCACTACTCACTACGCACTACCCACTACCCACTACTCACTACTCACTACTCACCACCTACTACTCACTACCCCCTACTCACTACTTACTACCCCCTACTCCCTACGCAGTACTCACTACTCAAGTCTCACTACTCACTACCCCCCATTACTCACTACTCGCTGCTCACTACTCACTACTCACTATACTCACTACTCACTACTCGCATTCTCTACTCACTACTCACTGCTCCCTACTCACTATTCACTACTCACTATTCCCTACTCTATACTCCCTACCCGCCTTCTCTGGCGCAGAAAGCAGCAAGGTGAGCGGCCCCCTTCCCGGATTTCTGTCCGGCGCAAAGGGGGAAAGGGGGGGGGGGGGTCGGACCCCCCCCACCCCTAAAAGGAGGGGGGGGGCTCGAAAATCTCACCCCCTCCTTTGAAGGGGGGAGGGGGGTTCTGCAAGCAACCCCTCTCCTTTTCAATTGCAGGGTGATCCAGTGGCGCGCTTTCATCATGAAGTTCATCATCATCATCATCATCATCATCATCATCATCATCATCATCATCATCACCATCATCATCATCATCAGCACAGCCCTCCTTCTCCTCATCCTCGTCCTCATCATCAGCATCCTCAACATCGTCATCCTCATCTTCATCAATATTATCATCATCAGGAGCATCGGCATTATCGTCCTGAGCCTTATCCTCATCCTCATCCACATCATCATCCTCATCCTCATCCTCATCCGCATCGTCCTCATCCGCGTCCTCATCCTCTTCCCCATTATCATCAGGATCGTAATCGCCCTCATCATCATCATCATCATCATCATCATCATCATCATCATCATCATCATCATCATCATTAGCAGCATCAGCATCAGCATCAGCATCATCATGTTCATCATCCTCAGCATCGTCATCATCATCACCATCATCATAATCATCGTCACCACCACCAGAGCATATTCGTCAGCCTCATCATCATCCTCATCCTCATCATCATCAGCGTCATCAGCATCAGCATCATCATCAGCATCATCAGCAGCATCGTCATCAGCAGCATCACCACCATCAGAATCAGCATCAGCATCAGCATCAGCATCAGCATCAGCATCAGCATCAGCATCAGCATCAGCATCAGCATCATCATCAACATCATCATTACCACCATCATCATCATCACATCATAATCAGCATCAGCATCAGCATCAGCATCAGCATCAGCATCACTATCAGCATCATCATCATCATCATCATCATCATCATCATCATCATCATTAGCAGCATCAGCATCAGCATCAGCATCATCATGTTCATCATCCTCAGCATCGTCATCATCATCACCATCAGCATAATCATCGTCACCACCACCAGAGCATATTCGTCAGCCTCATCATCATCCTCATCCTCATCATCACCAGCGTCATCAGCATCAGCATCATCATCAGCATCATCAGCAGCATCGTCATCAGCAGCATCACCACCATCAGCATCAGCATCAGCATCAGCATCAGCATCAGCATCAGCATCAGCATCATCAACATCATCATTACCACCATCATCATCATCACATCATAATCAGCATCAGCATCAGCATCAGCATCAGCATCAGCATCACTATCAGCATCGTCATCATCAGTATCATCATCTTCGGCATCAGCATCATCATAATCACCATCACCACTACATCATCATCACAAGCCTCATCCTCTCATCAGTACCGTCATAATCAGCAGCAGTAGCAGCGTCATCAGCATCGGCATCATCATCGCCAGAAGCATCATCATCACCAGCATCATAATCATCATCAGCAGCATCATCACCATCAGCATCATGATCAGCATCAGCATCTGCATTGTCAACATGCGCATCAGCATCAGCGTCATCATCATCATCGGCATCATCAACAACATCATCTCCACCATCATCATCACCACCACCATCATCATCGTCCTCAGCATCATCACCATCATCATCATCATCGTCATCATCATCACCATGATCATCATCACCACCACTATCATCATCATCATCATCGTCATCATCATCATCAGCAACATCATCATTATCAAGTTCACCATCATCATCATCATCACCATCATCATCATCATCATCATCATCATCATCATCATCATCATCATCATCATCTTCGTCATCATTTTCGTAATCATCATCATCACCACCACCATCATCATCATCATCAACATCATCAGGTTCATCATCATCATCATCACCACCACCACCACAATCATAATCGTCCTCATCATCATCCTCATCATCATCCTAATCGTCATCAGCAGCATCATCACCATCACCATCACCATCACCATCACCATCATCATCATACTCATCATCATCATCATCATCATCATCATCAGCAGCAGCAGCATCATCATCATCGTCATCATCATCATCATCACCATGATCGCACGCATGCGCTCGGTGGGAACAAAAAAACACCCAACGCAGCCCGCTCGCACGAGCCCACCAGAACGAGAGGCTCCCTGTCTGCCCCCGTCCCGCCAAAAGGCGGTCAGGAAGAGGAAACATAAGGAAGAGGAGGAGGAAGAAGAGGAGGAGCAGGAGCAGGAGCAGGAGGAGGAGGAGGAGGAGGAGGAGGGAGTTCTACCACCCCGGAAGAGTAAAGACAGGAGGAGTAGGAGGAGGACAAGGAGGCGCAGCGTCGGACGGAAGCAGGAGGAGGAGGGGGAAGAGTTAGGGAGGCGGAGGAGGAGGAGGAGAAGTTGAACCATCAGCATCATCATAGCCGTCCTGGCTCTCACACCCCTCATCCTCCTGTGACTCCTGTCCCTCCCTCTGCCCCCACCTCCTGGCCCCTCCACTGCCTCGCCCCTCCTCACTGAAGGCAGCTGCCGCAGCCGCGGCAGCGGCCGCTGCCGAGGGCCCCGGTGATGGCCAGACCGCCCCCCGAGCACCGCGGTCGCCAGCGCGTGCACCCCGCGGTCCGTCCTGGAGGCCCTCGAGCACACCTCGGCCTCGCGGGGACGAGGGCGGAGGGAGAACGAGACTTCCTCCCGTCCTTCCACCCGTCTTCCTCTTGCTCCTCCCCGTCCTCCCCCCGCCCTCCTCGGACAGTCGCCACTGGCGAGCGCCCGGCCTGCCAACCCCCCTCGCGGCCCAATGCCCCCGCAGCCGCTCGGCAGGCCATGCGATGCGCCCTCGCTCCACTGCGGGGAGGCGGGACGGTCAAAGTTCTCGAGGAAGTGAAGAAGAAAGTGGGAAGGGGGGGGGGAGGAGCAGGGAGGTGGAGGGAGGACGGGGGGGTGGGGAGGGACGCGCTCACATCAACCAGGAAGGCAACGAGAACTTCAAACGCGAGCCCTCCCTGGGCTGGGGTTGAAGACCACACCGACAGCACCCACGCATCGGCGAACGAAAGTGTCCATAGAAGGAGCCACCCGGACAGTCATCGCACCCGCGCGTCCATATGTTACAACACCGCAAATATTCAACAAGCACGAGCGGCTCCAACATCTCACCTGACTTTTCTTGTGGTTAGCGGGCGGTGTGCGCGGATGCGGGAGCCGTGTTGCAGACCTTCGCTAGGTACACCACGGAACTGCCTTGTGTGAGACAGCCGCACCTGGGGCAGATGTTTAGGCTCCCGTTGAGGTGCAAGCTGGGACATGGTTAGCGTGTCTCGTCGAGGCGTGGTAGACGAGAACCAGCGGCGCAACGCGCTAACCCAAGAATTCCCGACCGCATGTCCGCAGGATTCGGCATGGCAGCCTCGAGGCGCCGAGGCTCACCTGGACACACCCAGGGCGGCGGCAGGGCTGCCCGGATGGGCTGGCCATCGCACGGGCCACCGAAAGGCCCCGGGGAGAGAACGGAGGGGTCGGCACGAGATCCGTGCACGCAGAGCCTACGGCACCGCGCACTGCGGTGCCTGAGCCGCCCGCGAGGGTGGCGAGGCGGGGCGGCCGAAGGCGGGGGAGGAGTCCGGTCGCCCGGGGTGCGGCGGGGTGCTGCCGCCGTGCCCTCCCCCGCGGCCAGCGGGTGGTGGGGCCGAGGGGCCGGATGCGTGCCCTTCCCTGCCCCACGGAGCGCCGCCCGAAGGTGTGGCAGGCTCGCGTCGTGACGACCTCGGCGTTGGTTCCCGACCGTGGAGAGTGGAGATCGTTCGACCTCGGATGATCGGCGGCGTTCCGATCGCCAGATTGGTCCACGTCGGCCGATTCTGGGCCACAAGCGGCGTTCAACCCTGAAGGCTCGCGGCGGGGTCGCCGCCGCGTCGACACGACACGAACCTACCGTACACCACGGAGCGCCACGGCGAGCAGCGCTTCCCGTCCGAGGGGGAGGGAGAGGGGAACAAGCCTGGAGAAAGGCCACTCTTCCTGCGGCCCGCTCGAGGAGCGCCCCAGAGTGCCAAGGCAGACGAAGCACACCCGAGGCACAGCTCGGGCACCTTTGCCGTCCTCGTCTGCTGGCTCGCATCCTCCCCCCCGACAGGGCCGACGGCGAAAGTCAGCAGCAGGTAAATAGCCAGCAGATGCAGATAGAGTCGATAGCAGACGACAGTAGACGATAGCAGTCGTAACCAGACCATAGCAGACGATAGAAAACGATAGAAGCGGTTACCAGACGGCACCAGACGATAGATGCCAATAGCAGACGATTGCAATCGTTACCAGATGATAGGTACCGAGAGAGATAGCAGACGATAACAAGCGGTTCACAGACGATAGCGGGCGAGGTGCCGATAGAGTCGATAGCAAACAACAACAGACGATAACAGTCGTTACCAGACGATAGCAGACGATAAGAGCCGACAGTTGCCCATATAATCGATAGATGACGATAGGTGTCGATAGCAGACGATAGCAGTCGTTACCAGACGATCGTAGTCGACCAGACGAAAGCATACAATAGGTGCCGATAGTCGTTAGCAAACGTTAGTCGATAGCAGTCGCTACCAGACGATAGCAGACGATAGGTGCCGACAGAGTCGATAGCAGACGATAGGTGCCGACGTAATATATCGCAGGCGATAGCAACCGCTAGACCAGACGATATCAAACGATAGCAGACGATAGGTGCCACTAGCCGGAAGCAGACGATAGGTGGTAGCAGTCTTTACCAGACGGTAGCAGACGATAGTTGCCGACAAAATCGATCGCAGACGCTAACAGGCAGTAGCAGTCGTTACAAAACGATCGGGGTTCGGCAAATAATTTCATCTCACATGAGCCCCGTGTGGTTCCTTGCGTCTGCTCTCCCATGCTATCGGCTGCTATCGTCTGGTAACAACTGCTATCGCCTGGTACCGACTGTTATCGACACCTGTCGTCTGCTATCGTCTGGCACCAAATAGCCCACAGAGCTTCCAACTGTGTGTATGGGCCCGAACATTTCGAGACGATACGATCGAGGGATACAATTGTGGCCCCCACAGGGCATCTGATTTGAGTCTAGCTGGGGGGATGGGGAGGCGAGGAGGGAGGGGAGGAGGGAGGGAGGGAGGGAGGGGAGGGCAGGGGGGGAGGGAGGCTAGGAGGGAGACGACGGGAGGAGGAGGAGGAGAGGAGGAGGAGGAGGAGGAGGAGGAGGAGCAGCAGCAGCAGCAGCAGCAGCAGCAGCAGCAGGGACAGGGTTAGGGCGGAGGGAGGAGAGGGCCCACAGCGGCCTGACATCTTAGGGGATCAAGCAGACCCAGGACGCCCGAAAACAGCCCCTGACGAGAACGAGCTGCCACAAGAACCGAGCCAAGAAGCCCCGAGGCGGGCCCGTCTGCTCGGCCACGTGCGTGTCGAGATCCTCCCCCGTCGTTCTCTCTCACCCAGGCCACAAGGGACCGCCACAAGATACCACAAGGGGAGTGGCCACGTCCTCCTGCCCAGAATCACCCCCAATCCCCAAACGACGTTCAGAGCCCCGTCGCTGCTCGATCCTCCCTCTCCTAGTCCTCCTCTTCCTCCTCCTCCTCCTCCTCCTCCCCTCCTCCTCCTCCTCCTCCGTCGATCCTCCTCCTCCTCCTCCTCCTCCTCCTCCTCCTCGTCCTCCTCCTCCTCCTCGGCCTTTCATCCAGGTGGCTGTGGTGACATCGATTTTCTACCCTCACGGGGAGGTGGCGGTCCCAGTCGCGATCCTCACTTCTCCTCGATCCTCGGTGTCCTCTCCTCCTCCCCCATCGTCCACCCTCCCAGCGGCACCGACTGCCTCGCCTCCACATCCGCCCGCAGGCCAGCAACCTCGAGAGGTAAGCAATCGCATGTGAACCTTACTCCTCCAGGTCAGATTTCTGGAACGCCAGCCAGCGAAGCGGTCAAGCTTCTGGCGATGCCTGCAGCCAAGCGGCCAGGATTTCTGGCGATGCCTGCAGCCAAGCGAATCCCAGCGGTGGTATACCCGATACCCGCCAGGGGTAGGACTCGCATATGGGCCGCAGGAGAGGGCCGCCGCGAGGCCCGCCGCGACGCGTCCCCCCCCTAAGAGCCCTGGGCCGCTTCCCCGAGGCCGCCCGCTCCTCCCGGAGCATGCTGGGACGGGCCTCTGGGGCCCAGCGAGGGCCCCGGACGCCGAACACGCGAGAGGGAAGCTTCGCCTTTGCTTGCCGAGACGCTGGGGGCCTGGGGGCGGCCGCCGAGGGCGGCCGCGGAGGGCCGCCGCGGAGGGCCGCCGCGCTGTGCCCCCCCAAGGGGAGCCGCCGGGGGCCACCGCCTAAAGGCCGCAGCGAGGTGGCCGCCGAGGGCCGCCGCGGTGTGCCCCCCGCAAGGCCGCCGAGGGCCACCGCCGAAAGCCGCCCGACATGGGCACGGAAACCAAGGGTACAGTACCCAACAGCAGTTCCTGTGGACTCAGGGGCGCCCGAGGACCCGACAACAAGAGGTGCGATGTTGAAGCCTTTGCGTTTGCCTCCCGCGTGGGCGAACACGTCCAGGAATGCGAACACGTCCTCAGTGCCACCGCTTGGGGCGCCCGACATGGGTACAGTGGAAACAATGGGTTCATTTTGAACAGGACTCGCTGTCCACGCCGCCGCGGCCTGTGTTCATGCGAGGCAGGAGGCCGCCTGCCCAACAGAGGCCGCTGTTGGTTCGGGACAACATTTGCTGTCGGGCATTGTGCCCACTCTTTCCGTGCCCATTTCGGGCGTCCAAAACCGCCGAAAGCCGCCGCGGTGACTGCCGCCCCGGAGATCCGACGCTGCGAAGCAGAGTTGCGACGTCGTGGCAAGTCACGACCAAGCATCCCGACTCCAGGCTGTGTCGGAAGTGCACCTCAAGCGCCTCGAACGATACGACAAAGTAGGGCGGATAGTTCCGCCTCAGAGAAATAGGGCATAGGGCATACATGCTCATAAACATACTACGGAACAGCAGCAACAGCAACAGCAAGAGCAGCATCACCACCACCAACAACAACAGCAGCACCATCGCCACCAACAACACCACCACCAACAACAACAGCAGCAACTACAACAATCAGTTTACCCTCATGCGCGATGTTTCCGCACGAAGCATGCGACCATCATGATAACCATCCCCATCATGGGGGACTATTGTTCTATAGCGGGGTCCGTTGTTCCCATTCCCAGATCTCCCGCCCAATGAGGTCTCGCAAACACCTCCTCCGAGGAATTTCAACATATCCCACCTCGAAAACGCATGCCCGCGCCTAGCTACGCCGATGAGAGACCGCCAGTGGAGCCCCAGCCAAGGGTAAAGCACAAGGAAATATCGAGCGACAGGATTGCCTTGGTGGGGATGGGGGCTGTCGGCGGCGAGGCAAGGACCTGGCGGCTGTCGCCGGCGAGGCGGAGGACGGCGGCTGTCGGCGGCGAGGAGGAACACCGCCTTGAGTAAGAAGGGAGGAAGTCTCGAGCGGGAGCCGTGGCTTTGTCGGGACGGGGGCTGTCGGCGGCGAGGAACAGCACTGTCCTGAGGGGGAAAAAAAAAGAAGCCTCGAGTGGGAGCGTTGTTCTTGCTGGGAACGGCGCCAATTCAAAAGAGAGTAGGACGCCAGTCCAGCG